ATAAAAACAATAAATTTGTAATACAATTGTTAATGGAAACACAAATTTATTATTTTTATTGTTATAATTATTATTTATTAGTTTAATTTAAAAATTATTGTTTTGTTTATAACTGATTCAAATAACATTTATTTGATTTAAAACAAAGTTATTGAATAATAATAAATATTACTTCCAATTGAAAACAATTTTAGGTTCTATGTTTATAATTCTTAGAGGAAAAATATAAAATACAGAAATAGAATCAGTTACTAATACAAATTATTGACGTTCAAGTCTTTATTGCATCAAAAATATTTAATTAAAACTGGTTTCAAATTCACATAATGAAAAGAAACTTCTAAACAAGATAAATCAGGGTTGCCACAAACATTTAATTTTGTTTTTTCCTGACTTTTCCCTGATTTCAAGACAAAATTTTGATTTCTTCTCTGACCCTGAAGAATATTCTGATTTTAAACCTAAATATTTAATCACGAAGAAATAGATCATTCTGAGTCTTTGACTCGGAATGATCAATTTCTTCATGATTTATAATAAATTTAAGATGACAGAGTGATAAAATCATTATTTTATATCATAAGAATATTGTAACTATAAATTCAAATTTTCAAAGATTTTAATTTGAACCCTTTTTAAAATTGAATTATTTCTTAAAATTCACGCTATAATGCTTTTAATATTCAATTATAATTTAAAATTTTGAGTGAAATTCATTTTTTAATCATACTTTTTATTAGAAAATTTTTCGAGAATTCAATTATTTCAATACAAATATAATAATTTATTAAATAATTGAATATTTCTTAAAATTGAAATATTGACAAGAATTTCATCAAAATTTTTAAAAATAATTGAATTCTTTCGGCGAATTTAAAAAAAATGTTAAGAATAAATTCAATTTTTTATCATTTTATTTAAAATTGTATAAAAAATAATTGAAATTTTGCAATAAGTTTTGTTATATTTATGAAAATAATTGAAATATGACGAAGAATTTTATTCAATTTTTTTTTAAACAATTGAATTTTGAAAAGAATATTGAATTCTTGAGAAGAATTTTATTAAAATAACACATTATAGCATCCAGCCCCTCAATTTCTTAAATAATTGAATTGTTTAGAAGAATTGTATTTTTTACGAAAATAATAAATTGAATTGTTTCGAAGATTTTTACATACATATTGTATTCCTAGAAAGTATGTTATATTTTACGAAAATAATTGTTTTCTATGATCAATTTTATTATAATTTTTTAAATTTATGAAGCATTTTATCAAAATTTTTTACAATAATTGAATTCTCGATAAAAATTTTATTATTTATGAAAATAATTTATTTCTTGCGAAGAATTTTATTCAAATTTTTTTGAATAATTGAATTCCCATAAAAATGTATTATTTATGAAAATAATTGAATTCTTAAGAAGAATAATTGTATTGGAAATAATTGAATTGTATAGGAAAATTTTATTTTATAAAGATAATTGAAATTTTGACGAGAATTTTTAAACGTTATTGAATTTATGCGAAGAAGTTTATCACTTTTAAAAATAATTAAATTTATGTAATCAGTTATTCTTAAAAATTTTTATTTAAATTAATTAAAAATTGATATTTTCGAAAATTTCAAATTGAAACTTTTTAAGTTCATCTATTTATGAAGATTGTAAACGCAACTCTTTTGAAATCTAATTAATTTTGAAATTTTTAAGTAAAATTAATTTTTAAATAATTCCTAAGTAATAATTTTATGATAGTTCTTCAAGAATTAATAAATTTGAAAAGAAATTATTGTCAGAAATAGAAAAAATTGTAGGTTTTGTATTAGATTCTGATTTATTTTCTACATTTTTTTCTAACAATCCTTAATTTATGATTTTAAATTTTTATAATGAAGAGCAATTTCTCCATTTTCTCCTAACAATTTCTTTCATAAATTTCTCGATTTATGTATAAATCGCTTTTTTTGAAAAAGGATTAGGAAATATTATTTAGAAAAAGTGCCCTCATCTATCAGTTTTTCTAAGGATTTTAAACTTTTGGGACAGATGCAGACTTTAGAATACATTTAGTGTGTTGTATATTATATTAATTGACAAGAACTATCTCTAGTAAATATCGCATAGAATAATCATACAATACACAGGTATGAGTCATCTTGATGCGTAATATGAGTTTCCCTTCGCATTCTGTCTTTGTACTATCAACCACCCTATTCTATAAAGTAGAAAGCTCATATGTTCGCTTTGCAAAAGCCCCGTAACTGTATGTATATAGAAAACTTTAAAACTCTATTGTATTTTAGTTTCTTTCAAACAGATTTTTTTCTCTTCAAATTTAAAATCTTTTTTCTGAATTAACTTCTTTAATATTCACTCAGAAAAAAATTATTGTTTGCATCAAATACTCGCTATTTTATTGTAGACTAAAAAAAGTATTTTGATTGAAATAACCGATTGCTTGTCTATTGTCAAATAAATATTTACTAGAATGAAATAATTTTTACTTGAAACAAATACCGGTTAATTGATTTGAATAACAATTATTTGATTCAAGGAAATAATTATTTGATAATAAACAAGTAGTCGGCTAATTGAATCAAATTAATCTTTTTAGTGTATAAATCTAATTTTTAGGTAATACTAAATCAATTTTTTTAACCTAAATAAATATATTCATTCCAAATAAAGATTTGGTTCAGTTTGTTAATAAATTTGGCGTTTGGAGAAAGAATTTGTTATCTGAAGCAAATTTTAGTTGAACAAATGCATTTGTTTATTGATTCAACCAAAATTTCGTTGTTTCAAACAAATTTTTTTCTTAGTGTTAAATACTTCCTCTATTAGGAAGCATTTAGTGATGCATGTCGAGCAAATTAGATGCAATTTGTTTTTTCTTTTCCTTTCATAAAAGAAGTGAGATAAAACTATGAAATTTAATTGTTTTAATTGTTATTTTAACGATATGTTCGAATTTAGCGAACGAGAATCGCTCGGCATGTTGTAGGAAGCAATAAAATTGCAATATTTTTAATAAAGAAGCAATAAATTGAAATATTTCTAACTAATCAAGTTCACTCTCATATTAAAAGATTGATCAATCGACTTTGATATCCCCTTAATAACAAATAGTAAAATAATATTAATAACAAATAGTAAAATAATATTAATAACAAATAAATCATTAAAATATTAATACAAGTATGAATATAAAAAAATTGAATCCTACTTTGTTTTTTAACATCTGCCTATTAAATGAAAAGATAAGAGATCCATGTACAGTTGTTATAATAAATGGTAATGTACAACAGGTTTATCTCTAAAATATGAGGAAGTTCACTTAAATATGACCACGAATTTATATGAAATTCCGTGAAACCGTACATAAAAGAAAAAAGAAAAGAAATAATAGTGTCGGAGACATCAAGACTAGCGGTTTAGTTAACTCGGTGTGGAATTACCAGTCGATATCGAATTATCATAAAAAACCAATGCACCTACAGGTAGTAGTATTTCGCAATAAATAATAAATTAGAAAATTCCGCGTCAATATTTATTAATTTATGAAAAGAAGATAGTACAACATATAGTATTTGTTTCCTATATACTATACAGTAAAAAAAAACATTTAAAGACATTAATGTGTATGGAGAAAATTTCTCGGTGTATACTAATGAATTAATTTATTCAATATGAATCATGTGAAGCAGCGTAAGTAGAAAGGCCAAAGAGAATATTATGATAATACGAATTTTAAAAAAAAAATTGCAATGTATTTAAAGTCAGAGACTATAGACAAGTTCAAATTAGAAAGCTGGGAAATAGAAAGTGAATTTAGAGGATAGTGTGTATGAATTGAAAATTTATGTGCAATTTCGAGTGAATTGGCAGGTCCGATTTATTAAAAATTTTATCTTTCAGGAGTGACGGATAAAAATAGTTTTTGTTTTTGTAAATGTCAGTCTTGTTGAGACTTTAAATTTTTCTAAAAACCAACAAAGAAGGCAGAATTTGGGTATAGTAAAAAATCTACTATAAAAAAATGGTGAATTTAAATTTATAATTGTTATTCTATTCTCCTTTGTGCTTGGAGAATTTTACTTTGACTGATGACACATAATTGTACATCTTGATTACTGTGTTTTATCAAAACTATTGGTATACTTATACAATTTATCGACAAACAGTTTTATCTGTTACATTTTTTATTAGTTTATAATTAGCTAATCGAAATAGAAAATATTTTAATCACACTTATCGCGTTGATGCTTGTAAAAGATCGTGTTATGCTCTTTGAATATTATTGTCAATTATTATTAATTACTGAGCAATAAATAATGTTGTTAATGATAAAAGTATTTATCAAAAATTTTCGGAGTAAGCAAGAAATGTCAAATTTTTATATGTTCAGCTAAAATGAATGTTACTTTGAGACATGTAATTTTTCTATACATGTGTAAATACATTTTTATAGACCTTGTAAATAAGATATCTTGTGTTGGCTTGTGTATATTTTTCAGGACTTTCACTCGCAAAAATTATACAAGAAATTTTTTTTTTAGGAAATCGTAGTTCATCATAAGCCTTGGCCTGCAGTTGAGATACTATCAATATTTGTAAAGAGACTTTTCATTTCTTCAGAACACTTTCAAACAAAGAAAGAATATTGTATCGTTCTTTGGCCTTATTGAGAAAAGAATATTTTTTATCTTTCAAAATCTCTTTGGTTTTAATACTTAAAAAATTTTATACAAGCGGTATAGTTTTATAGTGATCGATCATGGATTCTGCGACCTATTAAAAAAATGATAATTGTCACAAGTTGATTTTTTTTAAAGCAAACAGGTGGTTTTCCTGGAAATCGTAGTTGTAAATGAAAAGAATAGATGTTAAATTGTATTGAAGTGAAATGAAAAAGAGGACAAGGAGAAGGAGAGAAGTTGACTTTACTTCTTCTTTGTCGGAAAAATGATTGAGGAAGTTAGATGCACGTACGTACCTTTGGTCTGTAGAACCATTTTCTAATGGACTCCATATCGCGAGGAATTTGTAAAATTATCTCACTCTCTCGCGGGTCACTGTGTTGTTCGAGACACCCTGTCTTTTTGCATCATCACGACGTCATCGTCATCTTGATGAAGTTTTAGAAAGCACTAATTTTCAACAATGCACACTAACATGAATTCTCTTTGTCCTCTATATTTTAGTTGATAAATAAAACTAATTTACGCAGTTTTATAATTAAAATATGAGACACATTATTACGTAGGAATTTAGTTTGACGTAAAACGCGTCCGAGAGGACATTAAATTATATAGGAAAAAATAAAATCAACTGAAAATGGCACAAGCGGCCATTCTCGATTAACTTAGTAGTCCCTCGAAGCCTAAATCGGCTCAACTGCGACTGAGCAGAAAAACACAGATGGCACACAACAGAAAGAGAATACACAGTAGTGCCAAGTACAAATACAAAACTTTGTTTTCCCCTATTTAACACTATGGGTATTGAAGCCACAGTGAAATGTTCCCAGATTGACTGTGACGTCCGTACCAAACAAACAGAACTGGCTATGACGTATGTGAGTTTGAGTTTGCGCCGAAGTTATTCGATTCGCTCTGCGCAGAGATGAACAAGGTTCGAAATTATTACCTAAACATGAAAATTGGTCAATTTTTTTTAAATTATTGAAAATTGAAATTTTATTTTTAAGTTGCCGATGATGTCCCAGCAGCCGTACATTTTTTAAGATTTCTATTATAATGTAAATTAATTTTTTAAAGTAGTTTAATATTGCTGTTTTGGAGTAAAATTATCATCATATAGTTTACCTATATTAAGCAGATTTAAAGAAAGAATTTTTTTATAATTTTATTGTTAAAATAAAAGTGGATGGTAACTGGGACATCCACGGTATCATTCAGAGAAAAAGGAATTGTTAAAATAGAAAAAACAAATTTCGTTTGTTGTTAAACAATTTAAACAATTTTTTTTGATGCTGTCATGCAACAAAATGTGAATTGTTAGGACAACAAAATAAATGTTTTAGTTCTATTAGTCACAATCCGATTGTCGAATTAACAATCTTTTTCTCATCGTATCGTGTTTACATGCAATCTTAAATAGTTCTTATTGTTATACAAAAATCAGGGAATTGAGATAAAAGTCAGAGAATTTTATCAAATTTTTAGAATTCATAAGACAATTTTAAACTTTGGTATACATCAGCAAATAGGAAAATATTAAAAATATTTAATTCTTCTTCAATTTCTTTTTGTTTGCTTATCAACTTTCAAATTCCACGAATTATATATAGTAAAAAAAATCCCTGGGATGCTACTCAACCTGGACACCTGAAAAACCTGGAAAAGTCAGGGAATTTTGATCGAAATCCTGGAAAATTATTGTTTTCTAAAGTTATTGTTTTTATTCTTGAAATCTAATTTCACTTAAATATTTAAAAATTAATTCAATTATAAAAGAATTTATTACGTTTACAATTTTCATAAGTAGATGAACTTTAAAAGATTTTGATTTAAAATTTTGTAAAATTTCAATTTTAAATGAATTTAATTAGAAATATAAAAAAACTTAGATTTAAAAAAAAATTTTTAAAACTAAAATACTTCTGAAATTAGTTAAATTTTTTATTTAACTAGTTTTATTAAAAATAATATGGATTTAGAGAAGAATTTTAGTTAAAAACACTAAAGCAAATTGAATTTTGAAGCAATTACAAATGATTGCAGAAATTCAATTATTTTCAAAAATTTTAATTATTTTCAAAAACTTCCCTCAATTCAATGATTTTTAATATCTAGTACTTTAATAAAAATTCCTAAAAGAATTCAATTTAAAAAAAATTTTTTTAAATGCTACGCAAACATTTAATTATTTTCATAAATAATAAAAATTTCACAGGAATTCAATTATTTACAAATTATTTTCACATATTATTCAATTATATTTTCATAAATAATAACATTTTTTTACAGGGATTCAATTATTTTCAAAAATAATAAAACTCAATGCTGTATTTCAATTATTTTTAATACAATTTTAAAGGAATTCTTCGAATTATGTTTAAAAATTTACAAAAATTCTCGTCAAAATTTCAATTATCTTAATAAATAATAAAATTTTTCTCCGAAATTCAAATATTTGCAAAACTTTTAATAAAATTCTTGGCAGATTTTCAATTATTTTTAATATAATTTTCATCAAATTTCTCGAAAAATGCGATTATTATTAAAAATTTGTTGATAAAATTCTTTATTAAAATTCAATTTTAAGAAACATTCAATTTTTTAATAAAATATTTATTTTTATGGTTAATAATTGAATTTTCGTAGAATTTTCTAATAAATATTAATTTAAAAATGAATTTCAAATTAAAATCTTTCAAATTTTTGAATATCTTAATTTTTATAAAAAAAATAATGATTAAAATTTAAAAATGAAGTTGTTGATGTTTTCGAATAATTTTCGTATTTTTTTTAATAAATAATTGAATTTTAGAAGGTTTTAAATTGAAATTTTAAATAATTTCAATTGAAAATTCTGAATAAGTTTAGAGTTTAAATATAATTAAATTCTCAAAGAATTTTTTCAAAAATTATTAAAAAATAATTAATTTAGAGAAGAATTTTTTAAAAAATTTTAGAAAATAATGGAATTGAGATATTGGAAATAATTTTGGAGAAGTTACAGTAGAACTACTTATAAAATATTGAATCTCAAAAGGCTTTAAATTTGAAATTCTTGAAAAAATTAATTTCTGTGAAAGAATGCTAATATGTTAAATGTTTGAGACAAATATACGTTTATTTAACTCAAATAAAATATATTTTCGGATTAAATAAAATTTTTCTCTGGGTGTAGTCTATTTTAAATATTCGGGGTATATAAAAAACCTTTTCAGAAACTAGAAAAACTGGTTAGATCCATGCTAAGGCCCTACTTCAAGTAACTGAGTAAATTTCTGCAGAAAGCTAAAAAAATTCCATATTTAGGTGATAAAGAACTTTATTTTTAACCTCCTATACTGTTATATATTACTGTTATTTTGTTTTTTATTTCTCGTACAAAGACTTTTTTTCAAGAACTGATTTTTCATTTGCTACAATATTATTAGTTTACCTTTCTTCATTATATAGAAAGCAAACAAAACATATAATTAAACATATGCATTTTAGTTATGAAAGTTGACAGCTTGATTTGGAATTTATGTAATTAAATAGATTTGTGGTTTTGTAAGAAAGTTCTATTTCACTTTCCCTTTTTTTTATTCTCATACATCATCTGCAAGTGTCAGGAAACGAACGCTCTCTTAATTTAATAAACGTAAGTTTTAGAGTATAGGAAAAATCAAGAGAACACTTTAAAATGTTTTTATTCAAAAAAAGGATACTATGGAATTTATATATTGTTAATGTTAATTTATTTATTATTTTACACAAAATATTTCGCTTTTTAATTTATAAAAATGAATTACGAGTCGATTTATACTCGATGTCAATGTTATGTTGATTGTTTACATTGTTAATAATTTATGATTTATTTACCAACAATAATTATGGTAAATTAACTAGAAGTCAGTTACCACCAACTGGCAGTGTCGAACTTTCTCTTTTCGCCTGCCCTCTGTGTTGATAAAATGTTCCCGGCTACTTGATTCTTTCCACAGATGGCGAATGTGAATCAAACTAATAGAAGTTTTAAAATTATTTAAAAAAAAGAAAAATGTACTATTTTTTAAAATCATTCTACAAATTATAAGATGAAAACATTTTGAAAGTCTCAAATATATTAATATTGTTGAAATTTTGAAATAACATAAAAGTTGTTAGAGTGAATTCTTCACGTATTAATTACTAATTAATTACTCTTTTCTAAAATGTTTCAGGTACCTGGCCCAAGCTGAGGAATAAAGAAAATTAGTAATTAGTGGGATTTCCTGTCATTGTGTATTTTCTCTTCGATGTGGAAATCAAGGGCGCCAGTGATCTTTGGCTCATCTTTATAAGGAGGAAATGCGACGGCATGGCATAAATCACCAAGGGAGGATATATCGGTGTTCGGTGAGTCTTCCTATTTCTTAAATGACATTCGAGCTTTCGCCAAAAGTCAAAATCTTCAACTGGTGAGTCGATTTTTTAAACAATTTTCACTAAACTCTCCTTCCCTGTTTGAAAAAGTTATTACAAATTTTGTTTGTTATAAAATCAATTAAAATCGGTAATATTTAGTAGTTGGTATACTGGAATTCCAGCTACATATTTCCATATTGACACTTTCTTAAAAATTTACATATATATTAGGGTGCGGTTCTTATTTGGGGGCGATGTTTCCAAATCTTCGGTCTCACCCCAAAAAATTAATCAAGATATAAAAAAAAATTTTCCTGAAAGTTTGAAGCAAATCGAACAATATTAACACGTGCCTCTAGTCGACTGGAATTTTAAATGGAAAATACATGTAATTTTTCCTGCAAATCACAAAAAATTGTTTCTAGCTTATACAAATTTATTTAAAATTATCTAACTTTGGGTTCTTTTAGAACTTGATAAGAGGTAAAACCTCCAATTATTCAAAAAATTTTTGAAAGTATTTGGTCCATTTACAAGCTTGATGAATATGCCGCTATCACAGTAAACAGGACTATAATATAGTATATTAACCCTTAGGTGGACACATTTTTTTATTTATTTAAATTTGACGAAACTCGATACACGGGGGGTTTTTCGGGTCGCTGATTACGAATCTGAGGTCATTTTGAAAAATTTTAAAATGGCGGATCCAATATGGCGGACATAAAAATATAAAAAGTCGTTTAATTCGACTGAAACTCGGTACTCGGGGGTTTCTAAGGTCGCTGATTGCGAATCCGAGGTAATAAAAAATACAAAAAAATGTAAAAAAATTAAACCTTAGATTCTCATTCAGTGACCCCAGAAACTCCCGTGTACCGAGTTTCAGTCGAATTGAACGACTTTTTATATTTTACGTCCGCCATATTGGATCCGCCATTTTGAAATTTTTCAAAATGACCTCAGATTCGTAATTAGCGTCCCGAAAAACCCCCCGAATATCGAGTTTCGTCAAATTTAAATGAATAAAAAAATGTGTCCACCTAAGGGTTAATATATACTATATTATAGTCCTGTTTACTGTGATAGCGGCATATTCATCAAGCTTGTAAATGGAGCAAATACTTTCAAAATTTTTTTGAAAAATTGGTAGTTTTACCTCTTATCATATACTAAGAGAACCCAAAGTTAGAGAATTTTACATAATTTGTGTTTAAGTAACGTCTTTTTTAAATGAATTATTATGGTGATGAAAAAGATTTTCTTGATTTCATTATTAACTGTTCTTTTATAAATTTTGTTATAATTAATACTTGTAGAATTTTCCTATACGGGGCCATTCGTATATTATACTTCATATTATTTTTAATCATTTATGACCCCTCTCCTTCCCCATGTCATATATTGTTACATACATTAGCGCCATTTTTTCTGCAGGGTGTCACAAATGAAGGGTGTCACCCTTGAAGTGTGACGTAATATATATGCGGACAACTCTTGCTTTGTTTTAGTTGAATTTGAACTTTAGCAAGAACCAATTGAATTTTTTTTAGATTAATTTTTATTTTTGATAGTTTTTGACTTACTTAAATACCTAAGTTAAACAAATTCTATCTCTTAAAAGTTAAAACTTGATAGGAGGGGGGAATGTAGAGTAACTTTTAATATTTACAAAGTAAAATCCAAATTACTGCTTATTTCTGCTCTGCAAATTTTACTACTTTCGGAGTAAATTTTGTATAGTTTAGTAATTTTTACAGAAATTCACTTCAAACGTAGCAATTTTTACTTAGAAAATTTTTACTCCTTAGGAGTGGTCAGAAATGCACAGAAGTACCTGCAAAAGTTCAGGTTTTACTACAAAAGAAATAAAGTAACTTTTCCTATACTTTCATAGTAAAACCTAAACTGACAGAAACTTTTGCGTCTTTGTGTCTACTAGTACTATTTTCGGAGTATATTGTTGCAACGTTCTAAGTAAATTTTTGTAATAATTTAAGTGAACTTCGAACGTCGCTGCTTAGGTTATATTATGAAAGTATATAGTCAAAGTTACTCTACTTCTTTTTTCCCTGTAAAAAGTATAGTAAAAGTTACATTATTCATTTCTTCCATCATGAAGCTGAAATTGTCACTCAGTTACCAGCATTTACTTATTTTTGGAAATTAAATTTTAAAGTTAAATATTTTTTATGAAGCTGCAACATGCACTTAGTTATCAGAACTTGCTTAGTGTTCAAAAATTTTATGTTGGTTTTAAACAAAAAAAATATTTAACTTTATAATTTAATTTCCAAAATTAAGTGGGTGCTGATAAATGGTTTTTAAAACGTTTTGAAATTAAAACTTTGTATTATAAAATCATTTTTTGGACTTAGAAGTAAATATAGAGAAATAAATCATTTTGATTAAAGTATAATTAGTAAACGTGTACATAAAGTTTAAACGTTTCGGTTAAAAGTTAAATAGGAAGTTTCTCTTTATTATTTTTGGAGAAGATGCCTGTTATTTTCTTTATTATTTTTTATACATTCTTGAGAGAACGAGAGAACTCAACGCTTTTTGTGTTGAATTTTTAGTTTTATTTATAATTTCTAGTTTTTAGCTTCAGGCTAATAAAGATTCGATAGGTCTCTTCTGACAGATTCAAAGATTCTGATAATTTTTCTGGTCCAGAAGTCTTAACCGCACGTATAGTGTCATACATAGAGTCGAAGTTACGCTTTTCCGCGAACCATTAAAGAGCAGTACTCACCCCGCGATTATAAGCAATAAAAATGGCAATACGAGTCTATGGTAGTCCGGTATCCGCAATATTGCCATTATTGGTGTAGCAGTATATAACTAAAGGTTTCTTCTATTCTTCCTTTCTCGTTCACTATTTTCTTCTCCCACCCACCTCTATATTTGGCTTCAACTCTTGACTCTGATGAAAACGGTTCCTACATGTATATACTTATAGGTGTATACCTATATGTATGTATTTATGTGTAAAGCTAAGATGTTGCCTCTCGACCCAGTGTAGTTTATCCAGGGGACACTTAGTAGCACTTACTCGTATCTTAATGACCAGGGACGCGCGTACCGTTAATGGGTTCCTTTAAAATTAGCGTCACGCCTTCAAAAATTTTTCGAGTCCCTTATATATATATACTATATTTACAACATCATTATTTAGCACTAAGGGCACAAATTGTCTCGTTCGTCTAAATTTCGATGAATTATAGGTACTTTCAAAATTTTCTTTTGTTCGATTTCAAATCATAAAGATACACATATATAGACAAATTTCTCTTCGAAGAAGAAAATTATTATTTTAGTTCATTGAATTTTGCGTCTATTATTTTCAAGTATAAATTTCTTGTCTCTTATAATAAATTGAAAAATGGTTATAAATATGTCTTGAATATAGTGCGCATTACGTCATTAGGTATTTATATAGACTAAATTGCAGTTGTCAAGAACAATAATTAATGTTCCTAATAAGAGAATGACGATTATTCATTGTTAACAATTAGTTTGAGATAAATAAATAATGCAATAAAAGATATAGCGCATTTAGTTCACAGATCGTTTACCGGTCAAGAACTATTTATATAAGAATATTTCACAACCATTCAGCCGCAAGTGGTTTTGTGTCGAGAACCGTAGTGAGAGCAAAAAAAAAAAAAGAAAAAAAAACAAGCCAATGGGCTTGCAATTTTGCTGCATCATTTTGTACGGATGTTTATTCGACTAGTCAACCGAGTCGGTCAGCCATTCAATGTTGGCTATTGTTTTAAATGCATACTTGTTGTACGAAGTAAATTAGCCTGATTTCCCCTCTAATTTGTCACTGTGTCGTTTGCTCATAAAATATATATAAAAAAAAGAATTATTGTACCCCTTATAATACACATAAATGCGAGCATAAATGTGGATACATAGTTTAAATAACGGGAAATGTTTTTATACGCGTGCGCTTGTTTTTTTGCTATGATTGAGAATTCGTTTTTTGCAATATATATGAAAAGTGTGTCGAGTTTTGTTGATAATGTAAAGTATGTGTCATTGATAGGTGGTATCATTGGTATAATTTTAAATTATTTTTGAATGATGTTTGACAGTCGTTTAATCATATACGGGGTGGATGAATTGAAAAATGTGCTATTTAAATTTTGACTAACTAGTTTTTGAGAGACTTGAAAGTTATGTATACTCTATATATCTTTAACTCACCTTCAGGGTACCGGAAGTCAATTGGCCAATTTGCAGGCGAATTGCCGATTACAAAAACTGAAAATGTTACTTCAAGGAAACAGTAACGAACAGGTGAATATACGCGCACGCAGATAAAATAAAATCTTATAATCTCGTTCCGGGAACTGCCTCAGAACAAATGGCCCTTAGCCTCTGGCGATCTTTTTCCTGAAACATTGGCGTGGGCAAATCTATACTTAGTCTTATTAAAACAATTGAATTTCATTTTCCCAAACATTCTTCTTCAATTTTAATTGTTTCTTCTTTTCTTTATGAAAATTAATGAAATCCTTTTTGAGGAGCTTAGGTGATTTAAACTGTTCTTCATAAATTAATCCCCTAGGATTATATTTATCCATTGTTTTCGTTTTCGAATATTTTCAATAATGCTCTTTTCCTGGAGAATATATAGTAGGAAAGTTAATTAGTTAATAATAAGGAAAATAAAAAAGAAAGCATTCGATGGTAACAACGGGAAAAATTTTCACCTGGAACAACTACAAATTTCGGTTATTTGAATCAAATAACCGATCAAATAAATTTCTTTTCAGTATTATTATAGGATTTTTGAAAGATTGTACACAAGTTATGAAGCGATTTCAGTCAGTGGGAAATAGTATTCGGAATAAAACGAATTTATAAATGTTATTCTCCAGTTTGTGAACAAGATTTGAAAAGTATTTTTCCATTTTACTTCGGTCATTATTTTACCGGTCGTTGAGCTCGTGGCATCGTCAGTGATCGTTCTAAGAATCGTTCAAGCACGTGAATTATGCCAGTTGTGCCTCTAATCGATAAAACGGTTAAAGAAGCA